GGTTGGGTCTTAACAAAGTTCCATAGGGGGAGGTTTCGCCCCGAGGTCCAACCCCTTACACTTTTGTAAACCAATTTGACAGAAAAGGTAAGCCTTTCGTATTCCTTTAATTGAAAAAAGGTATCCCTTTCACATGCTTTCATAACTGGACCACATTGTGAATAAATCGTCGAAGAATGAAATCTTTTCATTTCTGTTTAGTGCCAGGAGCCCATCATGGGCTCCTGGTAGTGCTTAGTAAAATAAACGATACAGTCATAAAGTGCGTTTGTTAAAAATATTTTAATTAAAGGCCCTTTGAAATAACTAAATGGCAGATTTCTCTACCTTTTCATATACCTCACCTTGTGAAATTCTTACCCTTTTATGTCCGTGAAGCCTGAAAAACGTACCCCTTTCGGACAGAGCCACTCCGTACACGCCATTATAGGAAGTACCCCCCTCCCCCAGATCGCTTCCAGTGCTCGGACACACCATTTTGTTTGGAGTGCACTCAAGAAGCTAGAGCTGCTTTCTTTTCACTTCGAGCAACTTTTACGCTTCTTTCGTGCTCTCCAAGCTCACTGCGTGCATCATAATTCGATAATCCACGCTAAAGCATGAACCAATAATTTTTTTTAATGCAATAAGACACTTCTTATCACCAGAGAATATGTATTTATTACTTGGAATTAAGAGTGTCACAAGTTACTCTGTTTAGTGGTTTGGTCTAGAACATCATTTACCTTTCTTTGTAGCAAAGACTTTTTGAGAATTACCGACGGGATGGGAACAATGCTTAGCTTCTACTGCGGTAACATGACCGGCAAAAATTTTCTAGTGACAGGAGACCAAGTGAAAATATTATTTAAATCAGACGACATGGTTGAACAAAGGGGATTTCGGTTAGTCTTCACTCTAATTTCATCACACGGTAAGTGGGACCATAAAGAAGCTGATTAAAGGGCATGTAAACCCAAAAAATGCTATTTTGGGGACCACATAGCCTTTTAGTACATACATGACATCTGTCAAATCTGTAGATCTTTTGTTCACTTTAGCCTGTTTTTACGTTGAAAAATCGCTTCAAAGTTTTAAACATCCGCCATCTTGAATTGCACAATCTAGTTACGGGAAATCAAAGGTCTTTCTTGAACACGTTGTGAAATAAGCACATGTTTACATAGTTTCTTTTGGAAAAACACCACATCTTCATTATGGTAAAATGCTGTGTCGTTCAGTTTTGCAGTAATTCGAACAAAACAGGCCATACTATGCATAAGTTTCCATAAGACGCTAATTTGAGGTGGCAGTGGGTAAAATTTGTTCAAGACGGAAATCGAGCCTAGTGAAAAGGGCCGATTTCATAGAGCCGACGGAGCATTCGGTTATTTGCAACATTCATTTTTCTCCGGATTGTTACGAAAAAAGTTTCAT